ATTTGTTTACACATCACAGATTTTAGCAGTTACTGATAAGAAAAGGTAAGCAGCTTTACGTAGTTTTGAAGAACAAACTAGCAGTTCTATTTACAGAGGCCAAGGACAGTAGTTATTGTGAGGAGAATGGGGCAGCCATTTCAACTTATCTAAAAACAGTTTTGCATTTTATAAAATAGTTTTGCTCCGGTTCTGGCTCTAGGCCAGCACAATATCACAAGTGGAGAGATGGATCCTTTTTCATGCAGTAGAATGTTAGATAGCATTGAAGATGAATGGATCACTGCTATCGTGGATGAATTGGAAGATGGATGAATTTCAGACATTGAGCAGAAAATGCTGGACACAACACATACATTCCATATGTTTGAAATTCATAAAATGCAAGACAAAATTCAACTTTGGAGATGCATATTTGGTGACTGGCAATCAAAAGCAACAGGGAAGTGATTACCTTAAATGTCAGGGAAGTTATTACCTAACTTTTGTAAGGAAAGAGGGGTTAGTGTCACGGAAGGGGGATGGGTGTGATTTCTGGGATGCTAGCCATATTGTATTTCTTTTTGAATTTAAGTGATGGTTTACCAACATTTGCTTTTGATAATTCACTCAGGTGTGTATTTGTGTTTCTTATGTGTGTCATATTTCACAGTAAAGGGGCTAAAAAAAGAAAATGCACATCAAACCTTTAGCACCATGGAAGTTCTCATTAAATGAGATACGTATTTGTTTCAAGAATATTAATCTGGAGATGTTTAATTAGAACTGCAAAACTAAATGAAGCGTTTCAAACTGTCAACTCTCCTTCTAGTTGTAAATGTCAAGAGTGAGACATAAGGTACCTGGCCTAAGAATGCATCAGGAAACACAGCCGTGGGGTCACCTTTTCTGGAGATGTTAATCAAACCTGCAGGTTGCAGGCAAAGGCAAGGCACGGTACTTTGCAAGGCCAGCAGAGCCCAGGAGAATTGCCTAACTTGAGAGGCAAGAATTTCTGAGTGTGGAGATAGCATGGGCATTTTATTAAATCTTCCTGATGAGTCTAACCTGCAGCCAGGGTTGCAGAAGTTGCACTAGTGCTGAGGCGGGAGGCGGAAGCTGCTGTCAGAGGCCCCCAAGGAGAACAGCTTTCCCAGGAGTGGAGCAGAAGGGCTTTTAGCAGACCCCAAACTGTCAGTTTTGTGGAGCAGGCTGACATGAGTAGAAATGGGGGTGGCTGACCCCCAACTCTGCCTCCTCTGAATGAAAAGTTGAGAGAAGTTGGTTTCTTGAGACAGTAGCGCTTCTGTGCTCACGAGTATATCCCTTTGTCCCATTTAGGGATTGATCCTGGGATTAATTTTTCAAAGAAGGGCACATCACTTGGTTCAGCATCCTCCTGGATAGCAGGCCACATACTGGATGCACAGACACTAATGGTTCAAATATAATTTTCAGAACTCCTGAGAAATTCTGACTTTGTAACTATTGAAAATAGAAAAGTTGCAAGGCATTTCAATGATATAACAGTAAATGAAAATGCCAGTTTATACATTTATGAGTCTTTCTCAGAACACATGTGCCTCTAGAGACAAAAGACATAGAATGAAATGAAGTTAAGAGAGACAAATCTGACGTGGGGCGATGTGACACACATCCCCCTGTTTATTGTGCAATATGGCACACACATACAGGACCACAGGACCCCGAGCAGGCCGGTGATGCCCCTTCCCCTGCCAGGAGCACAAACTTTCTGCACTGTTATACCCTCCAATTTTGATTTTAACCACCCAGAGTTAGCAACAGGCTCCATAGACCAAAGGGCAGGATACTCAATAAGATTTCCCTCATTTCAGATGCCAGACACAAGTTTTAGGATCCCCATGTCACCCACACTTCTGACCAAATGTTGTAAGTTCAGGAGGTTCCCATAACTCCCCTCAGTTTTAGTAATTTACTAGAATGATTGACAGAATTGAGGAAAGCACTACGCTTAGGAATATCTGTTTTATTTTAAAGGAAGGTGCAGGAGTTTTATTATGTTGGAGGTGCATCACCTCCAATGCATCAATGTGTTCACAAACTGCAAAGTGCCACTGAGCGTTAACGTCCAGTTTTTATTGGAGCTTCTCTGTGAAGGAATAATTGACTGAAACACTGGCCATGTGTATGAACTCAGCCTCCTGCTCTCCTCCCCTCCTTGGGGGCCAGGCTGGCTCGAAGCCCCAGCCCTGTAATCACATGTCTGGTCTTTATGGTGACCAGCCCCATTCTGAGTCATCTTGTTAGGCTAGACTAAGACAGTCAAATGACTTGGAAATTCCAGTGACTTAAAGTCTCTTTCCCAGGAACTAAGGATGATGGCTAGTCAGATTCTTTATGATCCAACAAGCCTTATACTGTGGGACCCCACATCCAGAAAGACAAAAATAGGATCCTGCCATCTCAAAGGCAGCCTTCATCTAAGAGCCATACGTAAGAGTATTTAAGCCAGCCCTGACATGAAATGGAGCTCTAAATAGAACAAACGCTCAAACTCAGAATGTTCTATTTAAACTAAAATGCTATTCATTGGCAAGTGTGAAGCATCCTGCCACCCCTCAGGCTGTGGGTTCATGGGAAAGAACCAAGCAGTTTAGAGGATACCTACCGGACCAGCACGAAACTAAGGAGTTTGTATAAATGCAGATAACAATGCGGCAATTCATAGTAAGGAATAGTTTGATTAGGTAATTCAGCATCCTTGTACCAGCCTGTTAATGCCTTCTTCCATCGGCAGCAAAGCCAGCAAGCAGAACAAATTTGTAAGACAATGGAGCTTGGTGAGGATGGGATCGGAGCATTGCGAAACACGACACATTCTCAGTTTGGGGCCCTTTCCAGCACTCTCAAAAGAGAACGTTGTCCTTAGATATGCTTATCATATTTGTTTATATGTAGCCTTACTTATACCAAATTGGGTTCCTGAGGACACATCAAGAGCTTCTTGGTTGACCTTGACAGCTTAACAAGTTTCCTTCAGTACATGTTCACCCTTAACTGTGAGAGTGAGTCATTGCTAAAAATGGTTTACCTCATATTCTCATCCACTTCCAAACTAATTATGACCAGCCACTTTTAGGGAATTACATTTCTGAACTTACCGCAGAATTTGGCCTGAATGCTTCCATACATAGTAAGAAGACTTCATCTGTTGACATAATTAAAAAGCCGTCCTTCATTCCAGCTCATGTTTACTCCTGGAGGCATGCGTGACTAATTGCAGGCATTTATTTCATGCCTGGTGGTCTGGGTGGTATGTCCTAAATGTTGTTTTCTGACATTTGATTGTTTAGTTGGAACCTTTATGCATGTTTCAGCAGCAGGGCATGAATAAAGAATGATATTCCTTCAGGATGGCACTAGGATGGGCCCGGGGAGGACAGAGGGACTGGAGGCAGGGACGAGAGAAGCTCACGAATACAAGGCCACTTCGGCCTCTGGTGGATCTCAACCGTGTATGTTATTTTTTGTTTGTTTGTTTTGAGACAGAGTTTCGATCTTGTTGCCCATGCTGGAGTGCAATGGCACAATCTCGGCTCACTGCAACCTCTGCCTCCCGGGTTCAAGAGATTCTCCTGCGTCAGCCTCCCAAGTAGCTGAGATTACAGGCACGCACCATCATGCCCAGCTAATTTTTTGTATTTAGTAGAGACAGGGTTTCACCATGTTGGTCAGGCTGGTCTCTAACTCTTGACCTCATGTGATCAGCCCACCTCGGCCTCCCAAAGTGCTGGGATTACAGGCATGAGTCACCACACCTGGCCAGTATGCTTTTATTTGCCAAGATTGTTAAATGAAAAGGCAGCTGTTCCAGAGACTCAAGCCCTGTGGGTGGATGCAACATTTAGCTTCAATCACTCAGCACAGTGTCTGCCTTATAAGCCAGTGCTTCAGAAGTGCTCTGAGTACTGCCCATCCTGGGGTCTACAGGACCCAGAGTTGAACACACAGTTAATTGGCAGGTCTAAAATACAAACATGCCCCAGAAGGTCCAGTCAGGGTGCTGTCATGAAGCCAGTGTGGCTTCTTTGGGAGCAGCCATGCAGAAGAAGAAGAGATCGTTTTCGTCAGCTGTCCTGTTAGCAGGCCTGCTGCTGCATGAGGCAGAAAGGGCATTCCATCTGTTTTCCCTCGGGAGTGGTCCTGAGTCCTCCCCAGTCCCGTGACAGAAGTGTCTCAGAAAACAGTGCAGTGCGTGAGCCAGCAGAATCCCCAGAGACTCCACCAGATATTAGTGCAGGCCTTAGCGAGCCCCGAGTCAACCACCCATGCATAGGATCTTCCCCCACTGGCAGCTGCAAACTTCACTGAGGCACAAACTCAACACCATGCCCAAAACAACCACCGCTATCCATCCTCCAAGCCCTTCTGTCTGTGCTTCCTGCCCCAGTTACTGGCCCCACTGTCCACCCAGCGATCTGTCCCAGTGAGTCCTTCTCGCCCCCAGAGCAACTCATCAACAAGTTCAGCCATTTGTCCTCCAAGTTTTCTTGAATCTATCCCCTTTTCTGCATCTCAACTCCAGCACATTATCCCAAGTGACAACCACTGCCTCCTGAAGAACTCTAACACCTTTCTACTTGGCCAGGTGCGTCCACTGTCCCTCCAACCACTCTTGCCCTAGTCCAGGGTGATTGTTTTGACACAAATTATGTCACTGCCCTGATAAAATCTTTTCAGTAATCTTTCCCTGACCTTGAGACAAAGACCGATAACCAGATTCTGCAACCCCAGTCTCATCTTGGGCCACACGCCACCCCACAAATCTCAGCACACAAGTCCTGGCTGCTGGCTTTCCTCTTGGGCCACTAACACGTGTACCTGATGCTGCCTCTGCCTGCAATGGGGCATTTGCAACTCCGCACATTCTCTTTTTTAAAATTGTGATACATATTACCACTTACATAACATAAAATGTACCAGTTTAACCACTGTAAGTGTACGGTTCAGTGGTATTTAATGCCTTCACATTGTTGTGCAGAACTATGAAACACTGTGAATTTATGAGTCCTCCTTGCACAGGGGCCATGTGAATCTTTCCTGAATTGCTCCAATTTTAGTATACATGCTGCCGAAGCGAGCACCCTAACTCCTTTTGCCTATAAACCCATCTTTGGATCTTGGTTTAGAAGTCACTTATTCAGAGAAGCCTTCAAAACAAGGCTCAGTGCCCCATCGCACATCGCCCTGGCTTCACAGCACTTGGTGGCAGTGAGGCGATTGTTGGATTGGTGTCTGTTCCTCTTACTAGACTGCTGGCTGCACGCAGCAGCACCCAGGCCTGGAGCATGCAAGGCACTCTGTTGGGATCCGTACATCCTAGCTCAATGAACAATGCTTGAATGAGTGAAGAAATGAAGTTCTACCCACAGTGAAGACCACCCTTGACATTTTTGTAGAAAACTGTATGATTCTCTGTTGTCTTAAATGCTATTTCACAGTAGGATCTTGGCTTCACCTTTCAAAAACCAAAACCCATAGTGAAGTGTCTTTTTTTCCTTTTCTCAGACAGAAGAGCAATTTTTCTCCAACCATTAATTTGGGCTTCATCTCTTACAAAAGAGAAAGCCATCTGGTAGTCTCTAAATGGTAGGTTTTCCTTTGATTTTGTTCAGCAAAGCTCAAAACTAGTGAATCTAGAATCAGACTTCTGAAGCAGTTTGTAATTTCTGAAAACTAATGTGAAGTGGAATTTCTTTTGCAGTAAGACACTCAGCCCGATTGATACATCGCCATGTCTGCAGAAAAGCACCCTCTCACACAACTGGGGTTGAGTGTGGGGCCTGTGGATGGGTCTCCCTGGAACCTGAGGTGTCTGCACCCCCCAAGTTCATGGAAAACTCAGCCATGCTGGATGCTAGGAAGCCCTGCTATGGAGCCAGACAGGGTGGGTCTAGGATTTCATGGAACCAAAGACTCAACCCTGAGTTAGAGCAAGAATAGGTGATATTCACTCATGTGACTTTTCACGCTTTAGTGTTATTCATAACATCAGCAGCAAGAGATGAGTCTCATCATCATCCACAACAGCATCCTAAGTTTGTAGATAAGGTGATAACATTGAGAAGTCAAGTAGCTGGCCCAAGAGGCTTTCGAGGAGTGCTGGGCTGGGTTATCTGATTTCAGTACTAAAACTTTTGTGTTTTTCACTCCACTTTGCTCCATATGACATTCACCACTGCATTTTTAGAAGCAACTTCCACTATAATGTCACCCTTGCAGTGGCATAAAGATCTGGTCTTCTGCACTGTGGGCAAAGCCATACAAATAGAAAGATGTGTGCCCTGTGACTGTAAGGCCCTTTAATGTGACTGAACACTCAGACTTGGCCACACGCTCTGTGGTTGCTCAGTGTGTGTGGACTCTCTGGCTGATCAAAAGCCTGAGAGGGGGCAGCACAGGCTGAGCAGGACTACCCAGTAACACTGAGCCCCTAAAAGTCCTGGTCCCATGAGCCATGCCCCAGGCTCCGCCTCCACTGTCAGGAGTGTCCTATGTAAACACCGCCTTGAAGTTGGAGTCTATTCTGGCTTACTGCAGTTCACTGAATCTTGGGGGGGAAAGCTAGGATGCCCTCTGCCTCCCCGCATAGCCTCCGGTAGGCTGGGTCCCCCGGGCTTCCTCTAAATCCTGCATGTCCCCACCCTCCTCATGGAGATCCTAGTGAAGAACACAGTAATCTCTTGGAGCAAGTGAGGAATGAAATGCATAAGGCTCCCACTGCAGGATCAGGGCGTGCTGAGATAACCCCTCCAGCTCTTGGCCCAGGAGGTGATAAAAGAGGCACCTGCCATGAAGTCACCACCTGAAACCTTGTCCCTCAGCACCCCTGTCCACCCGTGGCCCCAGTGAGCCAATGGTTCCAGTGACCCTAAACATCCCACAATCCCACATCTCCCATCTCCCCGTGAGGCTTCCCTGCTTTCTGTCGACAAAGCTGCCTTTCATCACCTCTGTGGCATGTTCCCGCCATGTGCCCTCCATGACCCTCGCCTCCTCTGCCCTTGGCCACAGCTCACTCTCCTCCATGTCAGCTGTCAGACTCCAGCTGGAGCAGCCCATGGGCACTCAGCTTTATTCACACAGCAACACACACACACATCCCCCCAGATGTTTGTTTTCTGCCTCCTTTGAGGTTTTCCAAAGCTCCTTTGTTTGAAAAAGAACTCTTCCCAGGACACCCTTACCTTACCTCTGCGGTCTCATCTTCCACCAGATTCCTAGAGGACTTCAAATTGTTTGGCGTGTGGGGAAAGTGCTTTAAATGGTTTCTGTTCTTTCCATGATTGCTAAAAAGTCATTTTCACCATCATTGTGATTATTATCTACCCTGGATTTCCACTCTGATCCCTACTCCTGACATAAAAACCTTCTGCTTTTGTATTCTTTTAAATTAGTGGTTTTATTGTTGAATCTTAACTTTGTCACCTTAGGAATAGTTTCCAATGATTTCTGCATTTTACGTTCTGTTCCTGCTCATTTGTCCTTTCAGGTGTGTGTTTTTTACACAATGACTTCACATGAGGACACATTGTGAGTGTACAGCGTCAAGAACATGCTGTGGTCGGGATCACATCTCCCCGAGGCACAGAGGATGGCTCTGTTTGTTCAGGTATTTGTTCCTGATCATTAACTCTTCCTTGCTTTTCAGGCAAAACTGATGCCCTTAGAAAACCACCAGAGGACCAGGCACAGTGGCTCGTGCCTGTAATCCCAGCACTTTGGGAGGCTGAGGTGGGAGGATGCCTTGACCCTGGCTGGTGGAGACCGCAGTGAGCCATGACCGTGCCACTGCACAGGTGACAGAACGAGACCCTTTCTAACAATAACAACAAAAGCAGCCACCAGTGGTTGTAGAGAAATGCTAATGATTTTTTAAGGGGAAATTCTTAAGGGCAACTAATCCATTATCAGGTGCTTACTTATTTCCAGCACCTATAGTGTAAACCATTTTACTATTAAAATTATTCATGACCATGCATTTTAGAGGGCTTGTTTAACAAACTTACTGTTGAAAATGCAGAAGCAGCGGAATGGTGGGGAAGCAGCATTGAGGAAGAACAGCATAAGGAGTTGGAAGCAACTGGGCAACTTTCTTTAAGCTTATCTGAAAGGGCAGCCCTGTGGCTACAAAGTCGGCCATTGCGTTGGAAATTAGCTTCTCTTCATGTACAGTACTGAGTGGTAAGCAAGGAGAAGGGCTGCTGTGACCTTCCAGGTGGAGCGTCTGGTGCTGGGGGGAGAATCTGAGTCTTCTAACAACAGCGATGCAGGTTCTAACCAGTTCCTCCGTCATTTGGTGAGTTCGAACCTGACTTCCTAGTGCTTCAAGAAGAGGATTTATAGGGACTTGACACCTTTAGAAAGCAAAGTAGTATAATGAGACCAAAATACAACTAGTCAGAGGCTTTTCCTTCTTCCTCCTCACGCTGTCACGTTGGCAAAAGAGGCCTCAGTTGTCATGCTTGGTTCTCTACCCTGGGAAAACTCCTTACAATATCACTTTCTTATGGCTGTTGCATTCTTAGTATTTTGTTCCAAAGTCACCCACAATCTCCAGATGTAGAGGCTTTAGGGTCCACAAGTGGAAAGGGGCATCTAGAAAATCAATAACATAACATTACTTGCGTTTTTACATTTTCAGGACTTGGTATGCTTTAATTTACATCATGCCTTATAGATGGCACTCGAAGCTTGTTTTGTAGGTTAGATTATAAGATATATAGAACTTCTCACATCTCAATCATGCCCAGCCATGAAGCATCTTGTTCAAACATAATCACTAACACTGAAGACAAGGATTATCCATGGCTGTGTAACAAACTACCCCCAAAACTCTCTGGCTTAAAACAACCATAAACGCCTATTACCTCTCGACGTTTTCTGTGGGGCAAGGATTTACAAGCAGCTTCACTGGATGTTTCTGGCTCAGGCTCTTTCATGAGGCTGCAGTCAGAAAGTCAGGACTGCAGGAGCACCACGGCTTGAGTGGCTGGAGAATCTACTCGCACGTTGGGAAGATCACACAGCCAGCACGATGCTGCCGATTGCTGGTGTGAGGCCTCAGTTCCTCACCAAGCGTGCATCTCCACAAGGCTGCTTGAGCGTCTTCATGCTATGGCGGCCAGCTTCCCACAGAGTGGTCATCCTAACAGAGAGAGAGGCAGACGGAAGCCATATCCTTCTGATGGTCTTGTCTCAGAAGTCACATGGCCTCACTTCCACAGCCTTTATTCACTGGCCATGAGTCATTAAGTTCAGCCCATATTCAAGGGGAGGGAGTTACAGTCCACATTTTGAAAGGAGAAGCATCAAATAATTTGCAAACATGTTTTGAAAGCATCAGTGGTTATATTTTCATGCAGATGATTTTAAACCATATAACTTCTTTTGAAATGCATTTGTACCAAGTTAAATTCTCATATTTTAAATGTACAGCTTAGTGACTTTTCCAATGAGTAAATACCTGTATAACCATCATCTAGATCAAAATACGGTATGTTTTCAACATCTCAGAGAGTTCTATCATGGGAATCTCTGAATTTGAATTTTTTTTGTACACAATTATCACCTACAAATAAAGACAGCTTTAATTCTTCCTTTCTAGCCTTCATAACTTTCATTTATCATTCTTGACTTACTCTACTACCAAGGTTGAATAGATCTGGTATGAGTGGGCATCCCTGCCTTGTTCTAAACTTAGAGGGAAATGTGTTCAGAATTTATCTGTAGAGTTTTTAATAGATAACTTTTATCGGATTGAGAAAGCCTTCTACTCTTGGTGTGAATAAGCTTTGGAAATAGAAGGGTAAGTAGAATCACAAATCATAGCTTGTGACAAGTAGAATCACAAGTCATAGCTTGGTCATAGGTTTAAGCATTTGCCAGAGTACTGTCTTTAGCTGTGAACGTTCTTTATCCAATCTACAAAAAAGAAAATTGTACTAGGCCTACACATGGAAAATTACTGCCCAGGCGGTCTGCAATCTCCAAATATGTTGATCTTCACATGTATATTGGTTTGTCAGCTCCTTGGAATTGGAAATTGTCAGACTTCTTCACATGCAACCTTAATTCTGCGTGGTGCTTCCGTATTTAGATCAATTACAACAGTCTATTTAATTACCTTAGGCCCAAAGTATGGTTCTGTGCTATGGTGGTGGGGCATGGGAGAGGAGTTTTGAGGAGAAATGGAAGGGGGAAGACAGAGGAAGCCTAGGCACCAGCGGTACCAGCAGCAGCAGCGTGTAGAGAGGTCAGTTCTCACAGCCAAAGACTCATGGAGCCACCCAAGCCGGGTGTGGCTGATGTTTGTGAATTGGCATTCTGTAAGTCAGGGCTCTATAAACCTTGCCACATGTGGTGAGAATTTTTAAATGTCTCAACACCCAATTCACATGGCTTTAAAAGCAATAAATTTTAAAACAAGAATGTTTAAGTGGCACTGACAAAGAGTCCTCAGATTCATTATCGCATTTACTCTTCAGCGCAGCCCTGTGAGGTTCACATCCAGGCCTCACAGAGGACACTGAGGCCGAGAGACGTTCCGGGTCTTGCCGGAGATGACACAGCTTGGCTTCGGTGCCCCGGACTGAGCCGCGACTTAGGGCATGTGCTCTTTTCATTGCATTGTATTGGCAATGGCTGCCTGACAACTTTTTATATGGTTTTTAAAAATCACTGTAGCAGATGTGTCTGTGCTGAATGTAACTTGAGATGTTAGTTTGCTTCACGTAATTGAAGCGTTTCATTCTCGGTCCCCAGGTTTTGGTCACAGCGCGTTTAGCCATTTGGCTGAACAAATACAGAGATTGTTTCTCCCTCCTCCTCTCAGCACGTTCACCTTTTTCACATTTTATGAATTCTGCTCCAGTTGTCCAGGTATGAGACAGGGGGAAATCTGGAAAAGGAATACTAATTCTGTAACTTGGCAAAGACTATCTGCCATACGCCTAACAGTCAGTGAAAATCACCGAGCATACGCGTTTCATTTAAGTTTCCCATCACCAAGTACAAGGCCCTGCCTTGGGCACTTTTAGGGCCATAACTGTGGCATATTTCAGAGAGCAAGTCTCAATTTACTAGTTAGTCCCTAAGGGAGATGTTGGGACCACTCTTGTTTTAAAAGTGGTAAAACGCACACTAGGGCACTGTAGGGCGTACACATTTTGGATGTCAGATTGATTTTCGGGCAGGCAGTGGTCTGCAAACCTTGCAGAGGAGCGCCTTTGGATAGGGGACATGTCAACATTGATGGGGGCAGGGTTCCCGGGCTCTGTCTAGAGTGAAAACCCCATGTGCCACCGGGCACGTCTGTGAGCTGGAGGAGAATGGCACCAGAGAGCAGCAGGGCCCGGCGAGCCAGCACAGAGGGACCCTGCGTTTTCAGAAGCGACCACAGATCCTGCTGAAGGGCTGGACGGAGAGCAGCTGGCTCTGCTGGGTGTGGCCAGCGTCGCTGTGGGGTACAGGCCCAGCAAGGACAGCAGTGGGGCTCGGCGCTCACATAACAAGCTCTGACCTCTGGGGAAGGCAGACTCACATTTCCTCAAGGTTCTCTATTTGTACCAGATGAACTCATTGTCAGATATGAAAGGGCATCGTTCCAAGCGCTGTTGAGAGAGTGTCGTTTACTATGTAAACAAGGACAGAAGGCATCAGAGCCAGAATGCCATTATTCCTTGGCTTCCGAACGTTCCAGTGGAAATGCATGCTCCATGATTACTATTATCATTAAAATACTGGTTGGATTGTCCCATGAACATGAAAGTTTATAGCAAAGAGTGATTTTTCAAACAAAGATGCTGCAATGGTATCTGAGTTTGGCTTCTATCTCCTTAATTTTCTGAAGGTCCCTCAGGGAAGAACCCAGTGATTGGCAGAGTGGGTAGGATTTAGAAGGCTTTTCCAGGGCTTTGATTCGTCTAAAATATTTTTCTTTCTTTCTTGTTTTTTTACAGCTCCCTTAGAGATTTATTTTGAAGTGCCCCTGCCATGACTTTTCTGACTGCCTATGTGGCTTTCAAACCTGTCCACCACGTGTTTAGGAGTGAGTCATTTCCCCACAGGTAGGAAAAGTCTTAGCCCCCATGGGGAGGGTCAAGAGAGCAAACACGAGAGAGGACTTGGTCCTTACCAGAGGTCGCCCCCAAAACAGTGAGGTGTTCCAGTGCTCATTCCCTGACTGATGACTTCCTGAGCTAATTATTTTCTCCAGTAAACAAAGTCTGTATGAGATATCATAGAAAATGAGTTTTTAAGACTTCCTAACACCAAACATGTCTTTTTTTGTTTTCCAGCAGCATTTGCATTGTGTTACCCTGATCTCACTTATTCACCATTTGTGACATTTTTTCAAGCCATGGTTCACCTTTTCTTCATGTCCTTTTCTGGTCCTTTGAGATAACGCTTTTAGAATTTTACCATTCTGCTGTGAGGCCTGTGTCTATTTCTGTGAGAGGAATTCCATGTGGAGGAGGTGAGGTCCCAGTTTTCTGGTTTGGAGAAGCCCATGACTGCTCATTCTTGAGATCCCGCCTATGCCAGGTGTATGGAATACCTTCCTGTGACATGTACGGCTCTTCCAGCTGAGCATAAAAGCAGGCACCTCACCCTTTCATCAAGTAATTGACTCAGAACTTTAAGCAAGACAGATACAAGTAACTCAAGACCTGAATTATTTTTTAATTTACTAGGCGTTGTGTTTTTTTTTGCGCACTAATTACAATGTACAATTAAAGAACAGCGTAGGATTGGCTAATAAAGAAGGTGGTGAAACTCTGATGCAGAATGACCTCTCAGTAAACTTTTAAAGGACATGGGTTGTGGTGGAGTCATATGGAGAGGAGCCATGGGCTTTGATTCCAATGACTACTTCTCATCTCTTTCTCTTATTTACTGATTTGGGCTCTTCGTGAAAGGGATGTTTTTCTCGTCCTCTCCAACTCTTGCTCATAGATAATTTAATAATAGTTACGTCAGAAACCTCTTAAATGAGAAAAGCTTCGTCCTATTTAGATTTCTAATTACTCCACAGAATTTGAATTCCACATAATTTGAGATTGCTTTAAGAGTCCACTAACACCCAGTGCTGGAGTGCTCTCTTGTCACTAATAACGGGGCACTAAATGTCAAATGTTCCTCCAGTGATTTATGTTCCTATTTCACAGCTTGCCTTAATTGCTTTTTACATAAATCTGAGAAATAGTGATTAAAGTATTGCTGACTTTGGCACATTTATCAGTAGTTTGTAATATCTTCTGATACAACGTTAAGTGCTTGGCTAACAGAGATGAAGCAATGCTTTAGTCACAGGGCTTCCCTGCCATGGAGAAGGCTGTCCCCAGCGGGGAATGGCGAGTGGTGCGGACTGTCCCTGTCTCACAAGAGTCCTTCTGTTTCCTAGGAATTTGCACCCCACGGCAAGAAATGACATCGCTGTCTGCCTTTCCTATGCGGTCACACTCACTAGATAGAAATGATGATGTGATATCCTCTTCTGTTTTAATTTTTAAAACAGTGAACGCTCAAGAAATGGGATCAGCCCTCAGTTTCTCCTCATATTTCGGCCCTAAAGCCCTGGTAACTGTGAAAACTGCTCCTGAGGATGAAATGGGCAGGACCTTTGAACTAAACAGCAATAGCAAATGTGTGGTGCCTGCTCTGTGGGCATTCTGTTTCTGAGAACGTGTTGTCCTGCCCCAGTCTGGCTGTCTATTCTTTTGTAGGGTCATACAAGAGTGGGAGGGCCATGGCAAGAAGTGGTCCAGTCTTTATAGATGTTCTTTTTCCAGAAAACGAGTAAAAACTGTTTTTAAATATCCTGGAATGACAATCCAAAATGCAATGGAGAAGAGGGAAGGAAGGAAGGAAAGAAGGAAGGAAAGAAGGAAGGAAGGAAGGAAGGAAAGAAAAAGAAAGAAGAAAGAAAAAAAAAAGAAAAGAAAAGAAAGAAAGAAAGAGAAAGAAAGAAATGAAGGAAGGAAGGAAAAAGAAAGAAGAAAGAAAAAAAAGAAAAAGAAAGAGAGAGAGAAAGGAAGGAAGGAAGGAAGGAAGGAAGGGAGGTGGAAAGAAAGAAATGGAGAGAAAAAGTGAGTCACAGGCACAGCAACTGTGGAGATAATCTGAATCAGCAGCAATGCCTTGAAGCTCTTCCGAAATCTCCTCATTCCCCAATTAGAAACTGACCAAGTGGTCTATTAGAAAACTCTCAGCCTTCATTCTACAAGATCATCACCAGGCATGGCCTTTGCTAAGCCAGTGCCAGGGAGGAGGGCATGAGGCTGCAGCAGGGGCTCCGTGTGGACCCTGGAACCTGGGACTGACTGTGCCTTAGCCATCAGCACTGCCTTCCCTCCTGATGGCCTCGGCCTCTGGCCCAGAGCTCTTTCCTGAGGCAGGCTGCCCTCCATTAAACATGCATGTGGCCAGACAACAGGCTGAGTTCTTCCAGTGTCCTCTCCCACCTCCCGAGCTCCGCCCCTTCCCCTCTTCACAAACACCTGCCCGAGTCCCTCCTCAGGGCTCCTGTTGTCTGTTCCCTCTCTCTGTGCAGCCACCAGTAGTCCCTGTGCAGTAAAGGGTTAACTCAGCAAGTCTGGGGCATTCAAACCCTGCCCGTTGAAAAACATGCCTCACCCTTGGCCAGTTTCTGGGCAGTGACCTCTAAGTGTTCAGAACATCCCGCCTTACGAGAGCATCTGTGTGTACCTGGTGTCTTGGGGCCACACCAGAGTGTGTTCTCACCCTGGGATTATTTCAGAGTGGAGGGCTTGGCACATGCTGTCTCCATTGACCACTGAGGAGGTTGGAGACTGAGTTACTATGGTCAGTATATGGTATGAGGAGAGAATCTACATCCATTCCCCACCTATTATGCCTGCATCACTGACTAACCAGTTTTCCTTCCCTCATAATTAGCGATGCTGCCCATAAACTCTTATTCTGGGAGTGGAGCAGAGGAAGGGTCCCTGCAAGCAGCCTGTGCTCTCCAATTCATCTATCTACTCTTATAACAGACCTACATCTGCATAGAGTCTATAATATCTTTAAATTTTTCCAATATTCTCTATATTTAAAGATTTCTTGGTGAGTATTGGTGCTTACCTACAGGATATTTTAGCAACACTTTGTCCAATCCTGCTCTCCAAATCCCATGGGGCTTTTGACTTGAATTTAAACTTATTTATAGTATCTTGCCACTTATTCAAGTCTATTTTTATTGCTGTCTGTAAAGGTTTATGGTTTATGTCATGAAAGCTTCTATATTTTTCTTTCTCTTATATTTTTAGTTACTGTATTGTTGTAAATGAAATTTACCACCAGCAGCATCTTGGTTTTCTGGCCTGGCTTTGCTGTGACCAGCATGTAGTTATAGACAGATGGTAACATAAAAACCATGACCTGTTTCTAGGTTTGAAACTTCTGTATAAGCAATCAGCAAGTCAGAAAGTACCACAACTACTATTTGCTAAGAATCCTGTGCTAGGTGCAACCCCCAACATTTAAAACTTCCCTAAGGACACATTAAATCGAGGTTAAGATCCCTGTTATCTTGCCCTAAGACCCCAAGAGCCATTGTCACATATGTGGATCCTCCTGAAAAAGCAACCCAGAAAGGCAGTGAAAACCCATCCAACAGTTCCAACTTGCCATTGGCCGTGATATAGCTTCTTTCACCTCTACAGACCTCATGTGGTTACCCTAAAATGCAAATAGGACACCACATGAATTCTTTGGGTCACGAGGTTTTTCATGTGTGATTAGAACAGTCCAGCCAGCCAACTGGCAGCCCTTCCAACGTAGGAAAAGAGAAACGAACAGAAATCAAGGCAAGAATTCGTGGCCACGCTCTTCTTTGGCTGGAGGCATAACAATATTGATAGTTTTGCTACAGCAATAAGGAAGGAGAAAAAATGCCTTTGCGTGTCCCCAGGTCATAGCATAAAAAATAAAATAATTTTGAACCATAGAGAAGTGGACCGATTCAGGTCCTCACAATCTTTTACAGGTCAACATTTTCTCAAGAGGGAGAATCCTTCACTCATTCTGTTTTGTTTTGTTTGTTTTGTTTTTGAGATGGAGTCTCACTCTGTTGCCTAGGCTGGAGTGCAGTGGCGTGATCTCAGCTCCTTTCAACCTCTACCTCCCGAGTTCAAGCGATTCTCCTTCCTCAGCCTCAGCCTCTGGAGTATCTGGGATTACAGGCATGCACCATCACTCCCAGCTAATTTTTTGTATTTTTAATAGAGACAGGACTTCACCATGTTGGCCAGGCTGGTTTCAAACTCACTTGAGGAAGTGATCTGCCCGTCTGGTCCTCCCAAAGTGCTGGGATTACAGGAGCGAGCCACTGCGCTGAGCCCCTTCACTCATTCTTGAGATAAGACCATGGATTTCAGAATGGACTGGTTCCTTCAGCAGTGTGAGAACTAGGCCTACGAGATGTCACTAAAGTCTTTTATTCTTTTGACTGGAACCACTAATGAGCCTGATGTTCTCATCACCCCCACAGCAAGTTTCACATAGATTTAGTGAGCAGGTAGAGCCATTTTATTCCAAAGAGACTGGTCCAGTTTGGAAGTGTTTCCAAGCTTTCCAAAATTATCATGTTTTACATTTACTATAGAACACACTTCAAATGTTATTTACATATTTTTTCTATTTCTGCACATTTTCACACATATGGAAGCTTTTTAACACTGTTGACCAGTATCTGCACTCAGGGATTTTATGCATAACTGTGTTTTTTAATGACAAGTTTCCATCTCTTAACAGAGACCTCAAAGGAGGCAGAAAGAATCACTCCCCACTGACCTGAGGGACGAAAGGGAAAAAGAGAAAGGGAGGGAAATGACTCACAAAAAGAATGCTGGTGCCTCTTCACAACTATGCTTAAGCTCAACCATGTGGCTTTGCCTTTTTTTCTCGTAACACTTTCTTTCACAAAGCAGAAGTTTTAATTTTGCTGAAGTCCAACTTACCTATTTTCTCCCTTCATAAATTATGCGTTTGATGTAGCATCAAAAGCTCACAGTCAAATTCAAACTCATGTAAATTTTCTTTTATGTTATCTTGTAGTAGTTTTATACTTTTATGTTTTACACTTAGGTCTATGACTCATTTTTAGTTAAGTTTGTGAAGCGTGTGAGGTCTTTGTCTAGATCCTTTTCTTCTTTTGCACGTGATGTTCACTTGTTCCACCACGATTTGTTAAAAAGACTGTATCTTTGGGCCTGGCATGGTGGCTCACGCCTGTAATCCCAGCACTTTGAGAGACCAAGGCAGGCAGATCACCTGAGGTCAGGAGTTCAAGACAGCCTGGCCAACATGGTGAAACCTTGTCTCTACTAAAAATAGAGAAATTAGCCAGATGTGGTGGCAGACACCTATAATTCCAGGTACTCAGGAGACTGAGGCAGGAGAATCGCTCAAACCCAGGAGGTGGAGGTTAAGATAAGCTGAGAGTGTACCATTGCACCCCAACATGGGTAACAAGAGCAAAATTCTGTCTAAAAAAAAAGACTGTCCCTTTATCCATTAACCTGCATTTCTTCTTTGTCAAAAAATCAGGTGACTATACATTTACATGGGTCTATTTTCAGGCTCTACATCCTCTTACATTGATTTATCTGTCTGTTCTTTCACCAATACCAGACTTTCTTGTTTACTGTAACTTTAAAATAGGTCTCAAAGTTGGGTAATGTCATTCTTTCTTCTTCTTCTTCTTCTTCTTCTTCTTCTTCTTCTTCTTCTTCTTCTTCTTCTTCAATATTCTACTGATCTATCCACAGATATTTTACCATTTCATGTAAACTTTAGAATCTATATGTTGATATCCACAGAGTAATCTGCTGAGATTGTGACTAGAATTGCATTGAATCTATAGATTCCCAGATGGGAAGAACTGACCTTCTGACGGTATTGAGTCTTCCTATCTACAAACATTAAACATCTCTCCATTTATTTAGATTTGTTATTTCTTTCATCAGAGTTTAGTAGTTTTCCTTCACATAGATCTTATACCTAGTGTGTTAAGTTATATCTAAGTGTTTCACTTTTTTAGTGTTAATGTAAATGGTGTTTTGCTTTTCATTTCTATTGTTTATTGCTGATATATAGGAAACCAATTGACTTTTGGATATTAATTAACCTGCATCCTGTAACCTTTCTTTAATGACATATCAGTTCCAGGAGAATTTTTGTTAATTATTTGAGACTTTCTACTGAAGAATGTAGAATAATGTCATTTTTGGACAAAGATAATTTTGTTTCTTCCTTCCCAATCTATATACCTTTTATTTCCTTTTCTTGTTGCATTGTATTAACAAGAACTTCGGTATAATGCTGAATAGGAGTGATGAGGGGGGACGCCCTGGCTTTATTCCCAATTTTAGGAAGAAAGCATTTAGTTTCTCACCATGAAGTATGATGTTAGCTGTAAGCATTTTGCAGATGTTCTTTATCAATTTGAGAAATGTTTCCTCTATTCCTAGTTTGCTAAGAGTTTTTAATAAAAATAGGTGTTAGATTTTGTCAACTGTTTGTTCTGCATCTATTGATATGATCATTTAATCTGCTTCTTCTTCTTTAGCTTGTCGATGTGATAGATTGCACTAATTGGTTTTTGAATGTTGAGCCTTGCATACCTGACATACACCTCACTTGATTGTGGTCTATAGCTCTTTTTATACATGGTTGGATTCAGTATGCCAATATTTTGTTGAAGATTTTTGCATCTATGTTCATAAGAAATATTTGTCTGTAGTTTTCCTTTCTTGCAATATCTTTATCTGGTTTTGGTAGTAGGGTAATACTGGCCCCATAGAATTAGTTAGGAAGTGTTCCTTCTGCTTTTGTTTTCTGGAACAAATTATGAATAAATGATATCAATTATTCCTCAATTATTTGGTATAAGTCACCTTTGAACCCCTCTAAACCTGGTGCTTTCTGTTTTGGAAGTTTATTGATTATCAGTTCAATTTCTTTAGTAGATATAGGCCCATTCAGATCATCTATTTTGCCTTATGTGAGTATTGGTAGGTTCTGTCTTTCAACAAATAGGTTCTTTTCATCTAAGTTATACAATTTATAGGCATAGAATTGTTCATAATATTTCTTTATTGTCCCTTTAACATCCACTTGATCAGTAATGATGATTCCTCTTTCAATTCTGATATTAGTAATCTGTGTCTTCTTTCTTTTTTCTTAGCCTGGATTGAGAAATTTTAAAATTATTTTTATGTAAAAACATGCATGAGGCCGGGCGTGGTAGCTCACGCCTTTAATCCCAGCACTTGGGGAGGCCGAGGCGGGTGGATCACGAGGTCAAGAGGTTGAGACCATCCCGGCCAACATGGTGAAATCCTGTCTCTACTAAAAATACAAAAATTAGCTGGGTGTGGTGGCGTGCGCCGGTAGTCCCAGCTACTTGGGAGGCTGAGGTAGGAGAATTGCTTGAACCTGGGAGGCAGAGATTGCAGTGAGCTGAGATTGTGCCACTGCACTCCAGCCTGGCACCTGGTGAGGAAGCAAGACTCTGTCTCAAAAAAAAAAAAAAAAAAAAAAAAACACACACATGAGCATATTTGCAAAGACATCCCTCGGTTGCTGCAGGGCCAGCCCCACCCTCAGTCATCCTGCAGCCTGTGCTTCTGCTCTTTTACAGGAAACTTGAGGAGTTCCTCAACATCTGACTCTGAGTATTACATTTCGTTGCTCCTCTGAACTAGGGCACTCAGGGAAATTTTTCCACTGAAAGGTAACGTCTTAATTTCTTTGCAAATGAGCACAGAATAGAGAATCTTGCACTTCACACTAATGAAAACGGTGTGTGGTTTTGTGCTTTGGAAACCTAGCAAGGCCACGCAAGCTTCTCGCTGAGCAGCAGCACTGCACTTCTTCCGCCAACTGTTAACATCCCCAGCCTTGAAAGTCAAAATAAAAGTCAAAGTGGACAGGCGGGTATTGTGTGGAAGGATGAGAAGGAATAGGAGAATCTACCTAGCTCACGGTGGCATGATGAAACAGAGATACAGATTTGAGAGTTATTCAAGGTATCAGGAATTTGACTTATACTCGCCCCCTCTCCACAGAATACTGTGAATACACACAGAAGCTGGGCATAAATGTGATGTTACTACAAGTCGTCTCTCTTATCCATTTATTTTTTTCATGCCAAAGATAAAGCTATGGCATAAAGTTACATCCACAAGCACTTGAAGGAATTTAAATACCTATTAGTAACATATGGTCCATAGATTATTAATATTCATATGGAAATAGCCATATAAGATTTACATGGAAATGACCACATTTCATCAATAATATGAAGATTCTATTGATTCACTCATATTGCATTAGAAAAATGTGCCTATCTAACACAATAAAATCTGAGCACATTTAATTGAATATATGAACCGAATTTTGATTTCCAAATCTTAAAGTTCATTAATACATATAGTGAAAGCTCATTTATACCATTATATTGCAACCATTAGCATAAGGTGATTTTACCATATCTCATGGAGTACTCAATTCTATAACTTCCTCTTTTTTTAGGTTTTAAAAAAGCCTTTATTTTTTAAAGTTACTATGTGCATTATAGGAAACTGAAAAACACAAAAAGCAAAGAACAAAGTCATCCACAATCATAAGCAGTTTACAGTTTAACATGTCCTTCTAGGTCCTGTGTGGGTGTAGATGCCAGGATTCATCCCATAAATTTCCAGTGAATGAGGGGGCCAAGGAGTTTTGAGCCACTCACAGAGAAAGAGCACAGCTACATGATCCTGCAGCTGACTAGTTTGCCCTCTCGCCATTTATTCAGTATAGATTTAATAACAGAGGCTCTAAGTCAACACACTTGTAGAGAAAAATTAACGGACAGGTTTGGATGCCCAAAGCAAACACCATTAGTGGGTAATCTCCCTAGACGACCTCCCCCAAAAGGGCCATCCGGCTCAAAGTTTAGTTTTAAGACCACATGAGTAAACAAGCTAGCTAGGTAAACTATTCACAATCCTTTGTATTTGCACCTTAATCTCTGTGGCTCCTGCAAAGAGACTCTGGCTGCTTCAGCCAAGAACTGTAGAAAAAACCCTTAGGCCTTCCAAAAGGGTTTGAGACTACATCCTATAACTTTCTGTACTATTTTTCCTTTAATAATTTTGCCACCACCCTGAGTGAATTCCCACATGTAGACACAACAGTCAATATACTGTATGAGATCATACAGTATATATCATGCTTTTTCACACATCTTGAGTATTTACCAATTCAATATCTCAAAGCTATATGGGTATTTTGATAACCAAGAATATACTACACCAACTCAATCTGTTAGAAAAAAATGTAACCCCGCCTTTCTTGGGACAAAAATGTCATAGAAGACAAAAATGGTGACATGCCTCTAGATAAAAGCATTGGCAGAGTTTTGATTAAAATACTTCATTCCCTTAATGCTCAATTTAAAATGAAATATACAGCAACAGAATAATTAACAATAATGTTTCTAAGAGAACTCATTAGCAGATCTGTACTATTAAAATATTAACAAGGTATGTTTTCATTGAATTACTTAATGTATTCCTATAGTACAGCTAAAAAAGATGCACATACATCAATAGCTATCATAAAAATGTAAATATGGACACATCTGCAAACATCACTCTCTTTACACTTCCTTCTGCTCCTCTGTTGCCAATCTAATGAAGAAGTCCTGGCATACACTGCTCAGAGGTGGATTAGCAACTCCATGTCAGCTGGGTGTGTGGCTCAAGCCTGTAATCCCAGCACCTCGGGAGGCCAATGCTGGCGGATCACTAGGTCAGGAGTTTGAGAACAGCCTGGCCAACATGGTGAAACCCCATTCCTGCTAAAGATACAAAAAATTAGCCAAGCGTGCTGGCAGGTGCCTGTAATCCCAGCACTCAGAAGGCTGAGGCAGGAGAATTGCTTGAACCCAGGAAGCAGAGGTTGCAGTGAGCCAAGATCATGCCATTGCACTCCAGCCTGGGTGACAAGTCAAGACTCTGTGTCAAAAAAAAAAAAAAAAAAATTCCTTGTCCAAGTTGCATCTTTTCTATAAATTATAACAAAAAAAAATTACAAATCGGGTAATTCATTAGTTCTAGTTTTTATCACTGGCCACAAAAAGAAGAAAAAGAAATGATCTTTGAAGACACAAATTTGAAATTAACATTGATCTCTGAAGATATCAAGTCATATTATACAGTTCCACAGCTAGCAATGGAAAATCTTACAACCCAAGAAACTTGACAGATCTTACATTTCCACTATATCACACGGCCTGACTGTGGAATACCCGAATTGCCAGCCTCATTCTTGAACTTTCTTTTCAAAGTCAGAGAGTCAGGGCCACTCAGCCCGGAGCATGGCCCCTTAGTGGTGCACTGCAGTGTGGGCATTGGCAAGTCCCGGACCTTCTGTCTGGCTGATATCTGCCTCTTGCTGATGGACAAGAGGAAAGACCCTTCTTCCGTTGATATCAAGAAAGTGCCG